AATGAAATAAGAAGAAAAAGGTTTTCCACTTTTCGGCCTACGCAATCATTAATTCGTCGAGCGAGACTCTGTATCCAACAAAATGGGAATCTATTTGAACACTTATTGTAAAGCTAGTTTTAAGTATATCCAACTGTATGTCTTCTTTTTTAAACAAATTTTAATTTCATTCGTAGAAAAAAATTATTTCTTTTGTTTTTGCCTAAATGTTAGCTATGTTGCAAATGTTAGTCTGCGAGGATAGTCTTCTGGTAACAAGGCCTGCACTCGTTGAACATGGTAGGGATAAAGCAAATTTTCCCGTAGGATTCTATCGACTATGGTATGCGAGATAGTCCTACGCTGATATCTGCATTGATTTCCACGATATTTGAAATTTGTTCCTCCTCCTCTACAGTAACTTGTCTTTCACGAGTGCGAATATTAGTGGGCTGAACACTTCCTGTATCTCGAAGTCTTTGGTACACTTGCACAAATGTCCTTCTGTCTGGGTGTACCCGTTGGCGAAATCTATCGCGATAAATTTGAGCTGCAAGAGTTGAATTCTGACGAGCTTCACCGTAAACTAACAACATGTCGGCGAACTCTTGATTCGAGAACATTGTAATTAAGCATGACGACGTACGCGAACAATAACTAACCACTGTTACCGTTTGCGATCGATTGCCGGTTCGATAAGAGTTATGAATGACCGACGCGCTTTTGTCATGAGTGTTTTAAATATCTAATTTAATGAAACTTACTTACTGACTACAAATTTTGGCTTAACTTAGGAAAACTTAATGCCATTTATTTGTTAATTACCCAATTTAAAAACGTTTTAGATTAGATTATAAAAATTAGTAAGATTGTGGTCTATATAAAGCACTTAAACTTGTAAACTATAAAGCCATTTAAACAAAAAGCTATTGACTTTTGGACCATGGGTGATATGAACTTTTTGACTTGTTTAGACCCCCCCCTATTACCCATTTTAATAATGACCACCATAACGTTTACACCCTGTATAAAAACAATCTAGCTCATCAGAGATAAAACTCAAACCAGCATTGCTTACCCATCATGGTTTTCTTCACTTTTTCCGCTGGACGTAAAGAGCAGTACAATATGGCGGTTAACGTAATTAAAAAACTTTTTACCTATTCATTAGTTGAAAGTGCAGAACTGTGCGCTGCCCGATGCACCCTCCGCAATTATACTTGAATGAAATAGAAAGTTCATCATGCATATAAAAGCAGGTTGATGTGTTAATTAAAATGTGCCGGCAAATGGATTATGTCGATAATGCCACAGAGCAGCGTTTGTTCCTGAATCCAGAAACTGAAATCTTTTTCAGATTAGAAAACTCATCAGGGTCCATGCTTTGCTTATTTTGGATGACATGGAGGGTAGGGAAGTCTAGATGATGATTGCGTCATCGATAGTTATTTACTTTTTTACACGAATGGCAACCCTCACGTTGCCTTTGCTTGAAAGCGAAACGCATTTTCGGGGATTCCCGCAAATAATGCATACGTTTAGTGAAAGGCGCGCGGTAATTCCCCTACTCGCTTTAGAACCGAGTAGGGGAATTACCGCGCGGTGTTCACTTGTCTAAATTTCCTCTATCAGTGTATTGTTTCGTTTGGATACGAGTAGACGTATTGTAAGCATAGTAAAGCAAGTTAACATTTGTGTTACCATTGATTCCATTGGCCAAAGTTTAATGTTTAAATAAGATATCGTTTCACATAGACAAATCCAAGTTATACCAAATATTGTTTGAAAGTTTTAAAAAATCTCATACACGTACGAAAGTACAAAATGTACAAAAGTTAGTTAACGAAGTGTGGCGAAATTACAAATTACAAGCAAAATCCGACAAGGAACTAGATATTATTGTATCTAAGAGAATCGAAGGAGAATTGCAAGCGGCGACTAAGAATAAATCCAATCTACTAATTTTTTTTTCTAAGGTGAGTGACGAAATCATTTTAGGTACCTATGAGTACTAGAAATATTAGAAATCGCCAAAAACTTTATCTTTACTGATTAGAAAATATTATGGCATATCTCAAAGTATAGAGGTAATATTCATTATATTATAGATTTATTTCTTATGATTGATTCCGTCAATTTTTCACAAATTACAGGATATTAGTTTTATACATATATACAGAAAACTAACACCCTGTATTTTGTGACCGGAACGAATTGCTCGTTTAAACATATTAGATTTAAAGCCATAGGCCTTTTGATTTACCATATATATTGCCATACTTTGTATTTATGTAGCTTAATAAGAGAATCTTTAGCAGAAGCCATAGAAAGTTTTTATTTTTAGGCAACCTGTAAACCTGCAGAAAAAACAAATTATACAGTCAGCCTCAAATATTAAAAAAGAGGAAGAAGATAAAATAGAACCTGGTAATGAATCACAACAGCAATGCGAAATTAATGAAAACAGATAAACAGAGAGCAAAACCTTCTCAGGAAGGTATGAAAAATAAGATTGCTCTACTCGAAAAAAGTCTGAATGCTTTGTATTCTGCCAGAGATACTTTGCCAAGCCGTGCTGAAGCTGGTAAACAGATCATTAAGTTGCGCGAGGAAATAAAAACAGCAACACAGTCTTTAAACAGGAAGGTTCAAAACGCACTTGCCCAGAAGAAACACAGGGATGGTATGAAAAGAAAGTTAGAAGATATTTGTCGTGAAAATCCAGAAATAAAAAAGACTATCTCTGAGGGATTCAGTGGGACGTCCTAATCTTGAAAGCAATCAACATTCACTATTGAAAACAATCGCGGATATAGCTTTATTTGGGAGTGCAGCAGATGCTAGAAGACGAACGGAATCAATTCGCAGCGTAAAAACTCTTGATGAACTCACACAAAAATTACGTAAAATAGGATTTGACATTAGTCGCAGTGGGACATATCTTCGTTTGATTCTCAGAAAATCTAATTCTGCAGAGGGACGAAGACATGTATCGACAGTCCCTGTTAAGCTCATTTAGGCTCAAACTGATCACCACAAGAGCCACTTAGATAGCAAGTTCGGTGAAACATCAACCCATCATTTAGAGAACATAGCATCCATACTTGGACCAGATCAAGTATTTTTCATATCTCAAGATGATAAAGCTCGAGTCCCTGTTGGCGTAACTGCGGCAAATAAGCAAGCACCTCTTCTAATGCACATGGAATATAGAATCAAATTGCCTCATCACGATTGGGTAATCGCTGAGCGTCATAAATTAATACCATCTGTTTATGCTGGTATCAAAATCACTTCCAATGTGCTAGGACAACCGCAAGCCGTTGGATATTCTGGACCAACATACATCGCTATTCGAAGTGGAAAGCATAGTTCATCTACTCCTAATACCCAAGCTCAGGATTTCGAGGCGCTTCTCGAACTTGAATAGTTTCGACCATTAGCTAAAACTGACCATGGAGTAGTAAAACCGGTGGTAATCATGACGGTAGATGGAGGGCCAGATGAAAATGCACGTTATCAAAAAGTCATAGGGTTTGCTATACCACACTTTAAACAACATGATCTCGATGCATTGTTTTTAGCTACCCATGCTCCTGGAAGAAGTGCGTATAACAGAGTAGAGCGCAGAATGCCTCTTAGTCGGGAACTGGCTGGTTTAATATTGCCTCATGACCATTGGATCTCATTTGGATGAACGTGGCGTTACAATTGATGAACATTTAGAAAGATCTAATTTCGAATTTGCAGGAAATGTATTAGCTGAAGTATGGAGTTCAATGGAAATTGATGACTATAATGTTAATGCAAAATATGTTTTGGCAGGTGAACAAGATCTTCCTGATTTTCCAAACATTAAATGGTATTCAGAACATGTGCGTGAGAGCCATACTTGCTTCAAATTGTAAAATGTAGAAATACAGAATGCGGTCGTCCAAGAAGTGGCCTATTTAGATTACTAGACAATAGGTTTCTTCCACCACCTGTAAAAGTAAAACAAACAGTTGATGGCTTGGTTTTGGATGAAGGAGGGCAATTCCTTAATATTCCAGTCAATTTAGCTCTACGCTTAAGTGCTTCACTCAAAGATTTCCTGCAAATGCCCTACGATTATTTTTGTCCGACGATAAAATTGAGGCTATCAAGTCGAATATGCAAAACGTGTGGTCTTTATCATGCTTCCGTGAAGTCACTAAATCGTCACATCGAAAATATCCATAAAAAAGTAAACACGCACGCTGATAGGAAAGTTAGACCTGTAAGAGTCGCTGCTCGTCGTGCTAATGAACTGATGTGCATTATTCAAAATTTAGAGCACCATGATGTTGAATGGCTCGATGAGAACGACGGAGATATTCCAAAATCCTATGAAAGCGAGCAAACTCACAACATTGAGCAGCAATCGAAGCAATCCAATGTCATCGAAAACTTAGAATCATGGATTCGGGTTTCATGGACTGAAGACTTAATTTAAATTTAATATATGTACCAAAAATTTCAAATAAGTTTGCTATGTTAGTAAGATATAATATTTTTGTCCTTTACTCTATGTTGAATACCGTATCAGTAAAATATAATCTCTATCCTAAATCTATTTTCTTATTTTTCAAATTATAATTATAACGTTATAATTATAATATTGAAAAAACAATACATTAATTGACAAATGTTTACGTAAGCTTGGGGAGAGGGGGTAAGAGCTTTGCTTACTTTTGCTGCCAAGGAGGATGGGGGGGGGGGGTAAATAATTGTAATAAATCTGCTTACGTAATACTTGAACGGCCCCTTAATGGTGAATCGGCTTCGTTCAAATGAAAAAATAAACCGTGGTTAAACAGTCATTATTTATACCCTTGACGAAAATGAAACTTAGTAGAGATACCCTGCGGTATGCTATATCTATCTACGTATACAATACATAAAATTATCGCCTTTAAAACTGAAATTTTGTTATGGACAACTTCATACAAGCAACTATGTTGAATTTTTGCAGCATTTTGACAAGCGTTTCTTTTGTTACAGGTCTTCTCTCGTGGAATGTGAATGAATGTCTAGTCGATTTAGAGAAAGAATTAGCTATGGTGACTGAACAGGCCCTAGAAGGAGAGGAAGCAAGATATGGTAAGGACTTTTTTCATTTATTTCACATTCGGATGGCGGGTCATCACATCCTCGAACTGCTCTAACTGATATCAAAGTTAGATGCTAATTAGACTACTATCAGATATATGTCCAACATATCGACAGTACGACAGATAACTTTCTATACTACAATGTAAGTAGCCTAAATTTTTAGACATGTAGATTACAACCTGTTGAATAACACAGAACTATGAATAAAATATATATATTATAAATATAAAAAGAATTTTATCTAAAATTCTATGCACTAAAAGGTAGAAAATAGAGTTTTTTGCGCATTTTAAATTTCAGGCTGAAGGTATTAAATATTAAACAGAACATCAAGTCTCTAAATTAAAGTGCTCCTACCCTTCATTTATAATAACTCATGAAAAAATTGTAAGCCTAGCTTTTAGCTTTCAGTGCATAAAGTATTAAGTAGAAACTATTTGAAAAAACATGTTATTCATATTTCACTGAACCTTTTAGAACTTAGAAATTTTAAATATATTTATAACATGGTCGTACACATTTTTATGCGAGTCTTGAAACAACCATACACCCCAGAAAATTAACCAGTACAACGTAAGTTGGTGTCGAGTAGATGGACTAGCGAATCCTATAATTTCAGTATAATTACGAGTCATCGACTGAACACGAATGCCTGGAACTCATGTATGAACCGATATTCCAGTCAAATTTGTGCAGCTTCTATTCAAAATTGATCGGCTGCTGATTCGCTACTCCATGTGATTAGATTTAAAAGCCTAAAGGATACAGGACACTCCTGTTAGCGGGTACACCTGAATATACCTAATCCTGATAGTGGATAGGAAGTACCGCCTTCTGAGTTGGTAATATTGCCTTCATTTTTCTACCTACTCCTACTGGCGCCAATACAAAGTTTTATTTTTCTATGTGATGATAATACATAATGCTCCTATAAAGTAGTGTAAGTAAATCAATAAGCATCTAATATATAACTAGAAACTAAAAATAACCCATGTAACAGTTTTGTAATAATCCTAAATACAAACGATCTAATTAAATATTACATTTTTTTCAAAAATAATAAGCGTGCCTACATAGAAACTTCTGATTACAAAAAAAGTCTCATACAAAAATCTCATTGTTTTATTTGATACATAAAACTTGTACTAGCTGTTTGGTTAATGAGTATTTTATTATGCCATGTTGTTTCACCCAGTTTAGATTTATACTACAAGAAACTGTCAAATCCATGTCAAAATTTTTCAAAAGTCTACACTCTCGATCTAATGCATTTAAATCAGAAGCTACGTGTGTAAATTCTTTTGCTACATTACCAATGCTCTCAATAGCAGAAATATTTGATGGTTGAAAGAAACGAAATAATTTTTATATTTCCAATTCCCTTGTATTAAAAGGAAACCTTGTAAATAATTTGTGCTGCTTCGACGAAAAACTCTGAGAACTTTAATCTTAAAAATTTTTTTTGCTCTTCGGTCGTAGCATTAAGAGATGACTTATCAAATACGACACTTCTAAAGTAAAGTTTTAAGGCCTCATATTGCTCAAGAGCTCTGAATATTGCCGTATTTAAGGACAACCATCTCGTCTGTGCTGGTTGTAAAAGTTTATGGGAATTTATGTTGAGAGAGATTAAAAATTCTTTAAATTCTGACTGTCTTTTATAACTACGCTGAAAATAAGAGTAAATATTGTGACTTCTCACACGCGTAAGAAGCACATAATACTAATTAATGACAAATACATTTCATAATGAATAAATCTGGAATGTCCTTCGATAAATGTGTTTTCCGAAAGTTTTTTCGCTTCATCGTGGTATTAGCACCATCTGCAGCAGAACCAACCATATTTTTTGTATGGTATTTCCTATTTATAAAAATTGTTAAGAATATTCAAAAACGATGAAAAACAAAATATCTCCAGAAATTGCTATTTTTCAAGAAGTTTTTTACCAATCTCCAGATTATTCCTAAAAGCACCAGATGTGGTGAAATTTCACAAGACCTGGCAACATTGCTACCGCTGAGCCGCGCTGCCGCGTCGTGCGGACTGGCATGTGGGGGCGGGGGCACGTTGCCAGATGGATGAAGAAAATAATGTTTATGCGCTATTTGAACAGCTTGATCCATTCAGATTCTCTGTTTTTCTCGGAGGATTTGAATTGTGCTGAACAAAATCTTTTGTGAACTGATGACAGCGTTGCGTGCGAATTGCCGAGTCAACCTACTTGACCTGTTCTCATAATCAATTTTAAAAAGTACCTAGTCGTGGAGATTTTCGGGACAAGTAAAGATGTCTAACAAACCCTCTAATGATCTATTTATTTTTACATTTGTTTCAGGTGAACGTCTAATACAGTTCGCGTCAGAAAACCTAGTAACAGAAATCTTGATCCATCCGGTAGTAAGCACACTAGCGCAATGCATGCGCAATCTTCTTAGTAGTTTTACCAAACATCGTCATATCATCCATGCTGGGTACACCTTCGCCGCCAATGGGTCCTGGGCCTTACAGGTAAAATATCTTTGATGATCTCATTATTCAGGTTTGACGACACTATTTTTTTTACTAAGAATCTAGGTGTTATGCTTGGTTCAAATCTTAGATTCAACATCAAGTGTAGGAAGAGATATGAGGATTTGCTTGGATTGCGCACACGAGAGAGGGAGAACGCATTCGGAGCAAAAGAGATGTCACGTACAATACGTGCCATTCGATCTCTGCGTCCTAAATTAGTCGAATAATTTTAATAATGGCTTACGTATTATGTGAAGCCTGTTTTTTTTAATCGAAATTGTTGACATGTGTCAAAGAGAAACCAAAACAATTTATTCCATAAAATAAGAATTGCACGCTATGGTAGCTATAAGACTGAAATTGATTGGTACTCATTCGTTTTTAATTGTTAATAATTTCAGTTAATAAACAATCAAATGATAAGTAAGGTCAGAAAACTAACATCGTAATAGATACAGTTGACAATACTTTAAAGATTTATGAAGTTTCACAGATGATCAAATCCTGAGAGTTCGGAATCGGAATCTGAGCTACTACTTAAACTTAAATCTTCGGATTGGCTATCGCTATCTTCGTCTAGGATTATTATTCTTTGATCCACAACTAAGTCGAGTGCTGGTTCCATTTCCATATATATTAAGTGACATATAAATCCGAACACCCAGTTTAAATGGTTTTATTTTAATAAAATTTTGTATAAGTACATAATGAAGCATAATAAGTAAATGATAAAAATTTCAAAATGATTGCACTGCTTTAAAGCCCTTTGACCTTTAATTATGTGTGGATGCACCCTGATGTGCTACGCATTCTCCAACGCGCCTAGGCATGCTTCTGATCAGGTGGTCAATGTCCTCCTGTGGTATCTCATTCCAGGCAACCACCAACTCCTCTCGAAGTGCTTCTAGAGTCTGAGGAGGATGTTGCAAATTGAGCAATCTCCTACCCATCATTTCCCACACGTGCTCAATTGGGGATAAGTCGGGAGATCTTGGTGGCCATGGTAACAATGTGACATCATTATGTTGAAAGAAGTCTATTGTGACTCTTGCAACATGTGGTCGGGCATTATCTTGTTGGAAAGTTGGATCTGCCAGGGTGTCAAGATAGGGTAAAAGATGGGGTTCTAGAACTTCGTGGAAATAACGCTGCGCATTCATGTTACCTCTGATGAAGATTAATGGTGACCTGGAACCATAAGCTATAGCACCCCAAACCATAACTCCAACAGTGTGATGAACATGGCTTTCAACAAAAAACTGTGGATTCCTCCTTTCACCACGTCGCCTTCTAACCCTGGCACGACCATCGTGCATGCCTAAACAAAATCGAGACTCGTCACTAAAGACAATACTGTTCCATTTCTGATCCCAGAGTGACCGTTGTCTGCACCACTCAAGGCGATTACGTCGGTGTTCTCGAGCTAAAGGGAGGACCCAGTGTGGCCGGTATGAAAACAAGCCAAAACTTCTCATTCGTCGGTAAACACTTCGCATGCCAATAGGTCTTCCGTGTTCTGCAAACCATTCATTTGCAATGGACCTGGTAGTGGAGAAACGGTCCCTTAAGGCCAATAATCTTAGGCGGCTATCTTCACGGTCTGTTGTTCTACGGCGGCGTCCAGTGCCCCTTGCTCTTTGGGTACGGCCTTCTCGAAGCCATGCCTGACAACACCTAACCACAGTGTCTACACTTCTTTGCACTCTAACTGCAATTGCCCGAAAAGAAGGTCCAGCTTCCCGAAGTCCCACTATACGGCCCCTATCAAACTCACTAAGTTGACGAAATTTTACAGGTCTCCGTACTCTAGGCATCGTAACCGATCGTAAAGGATGTCAAGAACCAAAATCCGCCAACGTTGATTCTTTACTGCGGCTGAAATATTCATTTTTAGAGCGTTAGTGAATTAAAAAAAAGCAGTATAAAAACCGGAATGTCCAACTGATAAGGCTGAAAATTTTTTCACTTGTTACTTACAGTAAGATAAATACATTCACCAACTTTTATTAAAATAAAACCATTTAAACTGGGTGTTCGGATTTATATGTCACTTAGTATACTCGTACTGCCTCTCAAAACCTTTGGCATCCTCACCTCGCTTTTTCCAATCTTCTGTGGGATAAGACGAGAAAGAGTCAGCGCAAAGCTTGTCGACATTCTTGAGATTAAAATCCAAATTTCTCTCAGAAACATATTGTTTCAAAGATACCCATACCAACTCAATTGGGTTCAAGTCGGGGTGAGATGGTGGCAATCTCAAAACAGATTGATCTTTTTCAGTCATTATTCTACCTATTTCATAAGTTATATATGCCGGTTATGCATTTTGATAAGGCTATATAAAGCAATTTTCAACATGTCGTCAGTGAAATGTATGTTTTTTTGTCTTAGCCAATCTCTCATATGATCCTTTTTAGAGCTCATAGTAGGACATTTGTCTATCTGAAGATTGTGGTATGGAATGTTGTCAAAACACTATTTGGTGGTAGGTTGGAAATCAGTTTATCCGGAAGCCATTTTTTAGAGTTCATCTCACTTTGATAATCACCCGACTTTCAGATATGCATTTTCCACGAAACCATTCTCACTACCAGCATGCACAATAATAAATCTTTGTCCTTTTGAAGCTGGCCTGTGAAGACCCTCTTTGGTATTATCGCTCCAACTCTTTTCAAGTGTATATGATATATGGATTTATGTTTCGTCCATATAAATTATATACCCAAAGTATATATATAATATATATATACTTTGGGTCCAGTCCGAAGACATCACTTTGTTTATTCACTATGTAGTCCGCCCCTGGAGTACGATCCGCGCACCAAGTTGAAAGACGAGAATCCCCACCTCCTCGCCGCGCCCTGGCCACTCGCGTTGAATCATTCGCTTTTTGGTGCGCGATCCGTGCAGTCGCCCGGCCTGCTTCAGTTCAGAAAACGCGTGCGATTTCTCTTTTCGGTACATAGTGCTCAGTGAGTAGGTAGGTAAGTTCACAACAAGGCTATTCTTTTTGATACCACTTAGCAGTCTGTTACATAATTGATTGGCGTATTCAACCAGATTGAATACGTTAACCAATGGTTATACTTGTTTAACAGAAACCATGGAAAAATCAGGAATTTCGGAGGCCAATTCACCCAGCTCCTTGAGAGACATGATTCGGGCCATTTTACAGGAGGAGCTCGAGGCAAGGTCAGGTGGTTATCGTTCTCGCACTAATTCGAGAAGTTTATCCCGAAAGAGTCGACACAGCAGATCCATGTCTCGTACCAATTCACCTCATCATTTTAGACGCTCCCGCTCTCGCATCAGCCGTAGGCGTTCAAGGTCACGTTCTAGGAGTAGTAACAGTCGCAGTCGATCACCGAGCGTGTCGAGGCGACGTAGAGAGAGACGGGAATATTTGCGTCAAGAGAAAAACTCAGGCAGCCCATCTGATAAGGTACAGCGTCAGGTAGACTCGGCTGGCCGTTCTCCGTGCGAGGCGGAAGCTCAGATTCTGACAGGGCCGGACTTGGGAACGGTACCAACTGAGAAAAATGATATGGAGGATGTTTTGATGCTTAGTGAAGGTGAGTGTCTCCCATTATCGGAAGACATATTAAATATCCTGGGTGTAGATCCTAAAAAAGCCAATAGGTCTAACTTCCAACTACACGGTGCCTTAGCTTCTCGATGGTCCCACATTTTGGCCAACGGACTTTCCACCGAGGACACCACCATCATTAGAGAAAAACACATTGTGCCTTCTAACTGTGCCTCTTTACACCCTCCGAAGATAAACCCCGAAGTGAAAGCCATTCTCTCTTCTACTCATTTAACGAGAGATGCCACCCATTCCGGGTACCAATTGAACATTGGTACCGGACTGACCGCCATGGGGAAAGCTTTTAACGTCATTTTGGAAGAAGAAACCCAGATTCCCAAGGATATCAAGGAAAAGATTTTATCGAATTTGACAGATTCTGCGCGAATCTTGGCGGCACTCTTTCACGACATCTCTAAAACTAGAAAGTACCTGATCAGCCCAGTACTCAACAAATCAGTTAAAGAACTGACTGAAAACACCTTACCAGGGGAGTTCTTATTCGGGCCAGATTTAGGTGAGCGGGCGAAAAATTTGAAATCTTTGGAGAAGGCCGGACAGGACCTACGTTTGTCCTCTATCCCCTCACGCAGTAGCTCTCAAGTGACTCGGTCTTTCAGTAATCCTGAAAGAAGAGGGGGGGGAGGCAACTCGTCAAAGAATGTAGGCGCTTTAAACAGGTATCGCCCGTCTTACCGCAAGAGGGAGGTGAGGCAGCACAAGGGCAATTCCTCAAAACAGTTTGCTCCGAACAGACAACAGCAGTCCAGAAAACGTTGAAGGTAAAACAAGTTCTATTTGCTGGTCGGCTACAATTTTACCTCAACTCTTGGTCAAAACTAACTTCAAATCCGATAGTCTTATCCTGGATTCAAGGTTACCGGATTCCCTTTAAATGCACACCTCCATTACGTCAACCTTTGGGCACAAATAATTTTTCTTCGACAGAAACATCGCTAGTTCGAGTAGCTATACGCGACTTGCAGAAGTCCGGGGCCATAATCAAATCTGAGTCAAGGCCCGATCAATTTATCTCTCCATATTTTCTTGCAGATAAATCCAACGGGGGAAAAAGATTTATATTAAACCTGAAACAGTTAAATGAATATGTGGAATGCCCGCATTTCAAAATGGAGGACCTTCGTACGGCTATAAAATTGACTCATAAAAACGTGTACATGTGCACAATCGACTTGAGAGATGCGTATTTTTTAGTACCTGTCCACAGCGACCATCAACAATTTCTAAAATTCTACTTTGATGGCCAATTGTATCAATTCACTTGCCTACCGTTTGGGTTATGTACAGCTCCGTTATGTTTCACAAAGCTTATGAAGCCAGTCGTCTCTTTTCTCCGCAATTTAGGCATCTCTACAGTCAATTATTTAGACGATTTTCTAATCTTTGGAGT